CTTCAACTCAAACGGCATTACCGTGCAATAGTAGATTCCCCGGGGCGTGATGAATGCCGTTTTCTCCTGATCTGATTCATGTAGGGGGATCTGGTGATATCCAGCCCGAGCATCCATGAAGGTGATGCGCTTATGGCCGGCTGTGACGTCTACCAGCTGATCAACTTTAGGCAAGGGGTACTCGTCCTTGGGGCAAGCTTTGTTAGGTCCGTGAAATCCATGCAAACTCGTCATTTCCCTTCTTTCTTCTTGGCGCACACGATATTGAATAACCATTGGGAGAATTGTACTTCCTTGATGGAACTTGCCTCCAACAATTTCACTACCTCTTCATCCACAGCCTTCATATGATGGGGCGTCGTTATCTGGGCCTTTTGCCTAATGGGTCTGAATGAGGGATTCATATGGAGCCGATGAGTCATCACCCTGACACTTATCCCCGTGATCTCGGCCTAGGTCCAAGCAAAGACATCGATATTGTGGTGTAAAAATGAGGTCATATCATTTCTTTCTGTGCCGCCGAGCGATTCTCCTATCAAGAAGTATTTCTCATCGTTATCCCGGCTCAAGAGAATCTTCACCAAGGCCTCAGTAAACCGGGCAGCCGACTCCGTGATGGGCTTATCCAGTCCCGGACGACCGTTCTGTGATTGTTATTTGGCAACCACCGCATCAGAATCACGCTCCTGACACCGGACGCTGATTCATGTTTTCACCGCGGCATAGAAGCAGCTTTTCGCCAAGGCCTGATCACCCCGGATCTCCATTACGCCTTGCGGCATTGGGAACTTTACCTTCTGGTGGTAGGATAAGTGGACCGCCTTTATTGCATGCAACCACGATCTCCCCATAATAGAATTATAAGGGGAGTCGGAGTCTACCACCATAAATTTCACTGGTGTGGTCACCACCTCCACCCGTACCATGAGAGTGATTTTTCCAAGGGGTAAGGCGCTGAAACCGTTGAAGCCAATGAGGGGGGGTTTACGGGTTCCAGATCCTTCTGAGACAGTCTCATCTTGCGGAAGAGGTGATCGTACATTATCTCGAAGGAGTTGCCCGAGTCCACCAATATCCTCTTAATGTCGAACTTTCTGATTTGCAACGTGATCACCAATGCATCCTCATGGGAAACGACAACACCACTGAGATCAGCATTCGAAAATTGGATAATCTCGGCACCGTTCCGTGGTCTTTTGGGCGGTCGCTCATCCACCCTGATTACTTGAGCAACCTTTTCTAACTCGGCGCGGAGGGAGTTGTATGTTGGGCTCTCCACTGTGCAGGCATGGATAACATCAATCACGAGTGCTACCTCAGCTGGCACCTCGGCTCGCTCCTTCGTTGACCAATTGGACGGGCCCTGTCGATGAATTTCCCGAGGTGTCCGTCTCGCACCAATTGTTCGAGGAAGGATTTATAAGTCTTATAATCCTCCGTCAAATGACCGACATCTCTATGATACGAACATCGGAAGGCCGCATTCCTTGTCGACGGGTCTCCAAACATCCTCGGGGGCCACCTGAAATAAGGTCTATTTTTTATCTTGGGGAGTATCCTGTGAATGGACTCGTTGAATACCGTGTTCACTCCCTGGAAGGATAGGCGAGTTGGGGTTGGAATTGGCCCTCCCCTTTGGGACGGCTACTCCCAATCCCTTTTTCTCAGAACTGTGGCCCTGCTTTCGGGCGCGACAGACTCTTCTTCCACCCGGACATATTTGTTAATCCGAGCTATCAAGTCTTTCATGTACGTCGGGGCCTTTTTGATCAGCGATTTATACAAGTTAGTGTCTCGGGACAGCCCCATCCTAAATGACGCAGCGACTAATGCCTCCGAACATGCCTCCACCTCATCCCAATATCGAACAGCATATTGTCGCAGTGTCTCTCCCCCTTTTCGCCTAAGCGTCAACAGAGCGCCGATGCCCTTTGATTTTTTACTACTGGTGATGAATCGAGTCAGAAAGAGTTCTGTCAGTTGTCTCCAGGACCCAACACTCTCGGGAGCAAGGCTCTCAAACCACCTCATACCGGTGTCCCCTAAGCTCATGGAAAAAACTCAGCACAACACCCTTTGGTCAGTATCGTAAATTGACATCAATTGCCTGTACTGCCGAAGGTGGCTCTCGGGGTCGGTTTTCCCGTCATAGACTTTGAACCGTGGGACAGTAAACTTTTTCGGCATCTTGACCTCCCTGATAGCCTGGACAAACGGCGAGATAACTTCGTCGAGTAGACCGTGGGTTCATAGATACGCTGACTGATGAAGGGAACCCGTGGATCCTTGGTGTCTCTCTCCTCTCGAGGCCTTCGGGGCATGGACTCCGCTTGAGATTCGGCGACTCCGACGCTCTTGGGTATCCCTCGATGCAGGTCCCACCTGGACAGGCCTGCCTTCTGGCCTGATTCTGGCTTTTCCTTGGAGGTCGACAACACTCCTCGGTAGTCACGTCCATCGGGCGAGTGCCTTATCCAATCCTTCTTGGGGGGCCATCGCCAGACGGGTTTGGACAGGTTCTAGCTATTGTTGGTTTTTTTTATGGAGTCTAGTTTGTATATGTGATCCGGATGATGACCCGACCCGAAATAATGTTGTGTGGCTTTTAATGGAAAATTTTCTGAGGCTTAGTCCATGGAGCCCAGTGCGTAGGACATATAAACCCTGTTGTTTTGGTGATTAGGGTGAATCGTGGATGTACAGCCGCTCTCTGTATTCAACTCTCTCAATAGTGAAATCCCTGCAGCTTCGTGGACATAGGCAAAATGCCGAACCACGTAAAATCTGTGTCTTGTTCTTTCTTGTTTCTTATTGCTTTATATTCTTGATTTGTTTTTCGATTGTGTGTGTTTGTTAGTGGATTTAAATCGTGAGAAATCCCAACAGCTAGGCACCTGGTCCCCGACCTCGCGATTGCTGACTGTTCGAAATTGTCAAGACGTTGCTGAACTTTTGGCGTTTTCTCTTTTGAGCTGCTTAATACGCTTGCCCATCCGCTTTTCCACCATATCCACGATGTCATGGGCCATGAGGTCACATCCCCCAAGGCCCTAATCCATAGGGAACGTCCTTTGCGAAGAATGTCCCACCCAATCTGACTAGCCTAATGAGCCCGACTCCAGAACCTTTGGAAGTCGGACGAGCTCTGCGTTCCTAGCCCGTACACCTGCTCCCTCACCCTGAGATCTAGTGTTCACTATCAGAGGATTGCTTCTGGAAGAAATACTTTCGTTCCCACAGACGGCGCCAAATTGCACGGGAAGATTCCTGCAATCGTGTGAGGCGGAGATCTCCCAATTGGCGAACCTGGAACAATAGGGTCAGAAAAAAAAGGGGGTCCCTTCTGAAGCTTAAGTCAGTAAAAGATCGAAGGATTTTGCTTAATGGACTTTTTCTGGTTTGAGTTTGCGTACCTTTGTCCACTTTTCTGAGGGATATTTATACCTGAATTACTAATGATTGTCAAAGATCTTCAGTCTCATCTGGACATTTTCATATCTGACACACCATTCCTCGTGCAGTGAATGTTTCTTATTCACGTCTCCTCCTATTGAATGTTAGGAAAATGGGGTAACAGCTGGGTCATCCGCCGAGCACTTATGCCACTCCTCGAACAACCAAATCCATCAGGTCGGCGTCTGACACCGACCAAGCATTGACTTCTCGGCGGAACAGTTCCTCGGGAGATCTGATGTGTCGTCTCGGCGCATCAGTCATTAATGTTTAGCCATTATGACAGTAGGCTTAAACTCTCAGAGGACAATCGCTTGCAGGCGTGTATTTATTTTTCATGTCACTATCACTCATTCCGCCATAAATGTGAGGTCACATCGTATTAAATGCGACGCGAGCTGTCACACTCGGCTGCTCCGTGTCACCATACCTCGGCTTACCTCCTCAGCATCTTTTGGTCATCCTGACGGCTTCGTTGTTCCACGTGTCAACCCAGGGGACGAAGAGCCGCACTGGAGTCCCACCAGTCATTCATGTCAGAACTAGAATATTCATGAGAAATAAATCACTCAGACCCTAATAAATTTATAATTCGTTCCGGTTATTACTTCAATTACATTGGATTGGGAATGATCCTTTATGCTCACGAGAAGATGCTCTTCCGAAGCAAACAAATTCAGTACTATATTAATATACCTAGCGAGGACCACATCATATTGGAACAAAATAAAATATTTATTATTATTATTATTGTTATTATAATCACTGGTTCACGTCTCTTCCACGTCCACAATCCTATTTCTTTATGATTTATTTAGCAATTAGTGATCCTTGTCATGTCCTTATGGTCAATTTCAAGCTAACGCCCTTGCTATTTTTAATGCCTATGCATTTTATTAATTGATTCGAGTTTGACTATACTTAGATTTTCGCTGGGTATGATTAACCCAGCACCGAGTTTAAATTGAGTTTGATCGTCCAATTTGAATTCTTGTTCGAGATTGATTTAACAAAAGCTGGCAAGAATTTGGCTGAAACCAAACTCAATTTTTTAGCTAAAATTGGAGAGTGGCACTAAAATTGGATTGATTTATGGAAAGAAACTTTGTGAACGAGCCTAATTACATGTTGCTTGGATTTCGCTTCTTTACACCTTAAAATTTTGATTAAATTCTATTTATTTTAGAATTTAAACGAGTTAAAACCAAATCAAGCCCAAAAAACTTAAAATACTATGATCTTTTAACAACTCTATCTAAATTTTTTCATCTCAATAAAGGATGACTACCTTCTTGCTCCAATTTCTAGATATTATTGAAGAGAACCCAATCTACTTCATCAATGTTAAAGAATTGCTACTGTTGGCGCTTAAAATCTGAACATGGATTTACAGATTAAAATCAATTTTCAAAATACTACAATTTTCAAATTTAACTGCACACTTATGTTGTAATTCCATGCTTTTTGCTCAACTTATCATCAGTTTTTAGAAAAGCATGGTTTCAAACTCAATACCTGACAATAAAAACGTGTTTTCAAAACACGCGTTTGGTAATAACAAAATTAATCACGAAGATAATGTAGTGTAGAGTTGGAGCTCCACATCCTTCTCAAATTCCATCATATCTTCCTCAGCCAAGATCACCCATGCTTCAATCCCACCAACACCTCTAGAATCCATAAGCTTAATACTATCAATATTTGAAAAGCTAGCACTGCTCACCCATGTTGGATTTCCCCAACCAAAGTCTGCTTCATATATTGGAAAACCACACCAACTACTAAACCTCAACACCTGCACATCCCCTTGGGACAAAAGCTTCCCTATCTCCTTGAAATTGTTCCTCACAATGTCAAACCCATCCTCACCTTGTAGTTTTCTTATGTAATCACCGTCTATTTTCCCAATTGCACCTCTCAATTTACCCACCAAGCTACCCAAATCTGTCTCTCCACTTGTCACTGCACTTGCCATTTGGAAAATATTACCAAATGAATTTTCAGGCAATGGAGGGTCCATCCTCTTTCTGAAGTTCACAGGATGAAATGCCACCGATACACTGCAGTTCTTGCGCCGTGTTGCAGCTATGCAACACTTCCATATCAGTGCTGAAACCGCCTCCACACGCGTAGGCAGCAGCATATTGCTGTTGGTTTTCACCAACTCAGATTTAAGTGCAGCAATTCCTGAGGCTGTGAAAACAAACCTTTTGGTGACAACCCTTTGAGTTGGAGGTCGAATTGCTGGATGGTTGGTGACTGGCATGAAGTCAGGTGAGTCTCTTGGTGGGAACAAAGATGATAAGTTAAAGATTGGACACACAGTATTTCTCTCCCCGCGAGCCGTGGCAGCCCAAGCTTTGATGAAGGTGCATAGAGTACATCCATCAGCAATTCTATGTGAAATGCACATACCAACCACTATGCCACCACAACTGAAGAAAGTCACTTGAATTGCTAATTCTTCTTTAACACTTTCTATTTTGTATGGGATCAATTGGTCGAACACCTTTGCTTCCGAGCATTCAATGATGTCTGTGAGCTCACTATCAACCTGGGCTTCTACGTAGCAAACCCCTTCATCACTACAATCAACTGAGATTTGGCCTTTCATTCTTCCAGCAAGAGGGTAGAATTGAGTTAAGGCTTGTGATAGTGATTCTTTTAGAATGTTTGACATATGGGATTGCTTGATATTGCTGGTTGATTCATTTTGGGAATAGTAGAAAATGAGAGGGACATAGGTGGGAGGTATTCTCTCATCAAGAAAAGAGAGCTTGAAGTCTCTGAATTCAGATGGAGTAGGAGAAGATGGTTTGATGAGCTCACTAGAAATTATGTCAACCTTCATTTTGGGAGCTCTGAGTACAAGGAAGTGGGCTGATAAGTTCTGTGTATTGCTGGTAAAGATGCTGCAACCACAGAGAAAATATATGAATGAGGGGGTAGCTTTATAGTTTTTTGTTTTTTGTTTGGTTAATATATTTTGGTTTATAAAGTATGTATTTTTTATCAGTTTAATCTTCATTGCATCAATTTTGTCAATTTTATTCCAAAAATATTTAATTCGTGTCATTTTAGTTCATAATCACACAATTCGTCAAGTTTTTTGACAAAATGGCTTTGTCATTTTTTTAGACGGTATCACATGTCCAACGTGTGATCATTTTGTCAAAAATTAAGCGATGGGACTAAAATGACATAAATTTAATACTTCAAGTACCAAATTCATTTTAATAAAATGAAGACTAAACTGACAAAAATATATATTTTAGAAATCAAATGTACTATTAACCTTTTTTTTTAATTAATAATAATTTTGGTCCTTAAAGTATGCGTGTTTTGTCAATTTTATCCTCAATGTACCAATTTTGTCAATTTGATCCCTAAATTATTCAATTCATGTTTAAATGCTCCATACACAAATAGTCCGTTAAGTTTTTTACGAAAATGATCATGTGCTAGTAACGTGATATAGTCTAAAAGAATGACACGGGGATATTTTTTTACGAACGTTTGAAATTAAACCACTTAGATACAAATTTGAAACCTTAAAGACTAAATAGACACAATTAACAGATTAAAGACTAAATAAACACAGCACGCTATCCAATTCGCAAAGCAGCTAGAGTTGTTAGAAGTCATATTAGAAGGGGATTCTACAGACATTATGTGATCTATTAGGTGTTGTGCGGTGGATCTTAATCCTCTCGGCACCATCTTGTAGGATATTAACAGTATAGTGAGAAACTTTCGTTATTTTAAAGTGGTTGAGCTTCGTCGCAATGGAAATAAAATAGCTCATGAATAAGCTCGTTTTGTTTTCTATTAAATAATAGAGTTGTATAGTTGGAGCAGACACTAAACTTTGTTATGCCTCCTATTTTTTCTAATATTCCCCAATAATAAATTTTATCATTGAATCTCAAAAAAAAAAAAAGGACACTACACGTATACTTTGAGGACCAAAAATATATTTTACCTTTATTTTTTCTATAAGATAAACCTCGATTGTTGAACAAATAACATTAATTAATGTGAGGAATAGTATAATTAAAAGAAGTGTAAAATAAATTATAAAAAGATCTTACAGATATGGGAAGAATATTTGAGTGTGTTGGCATAAATATTTTATTTGTTAGAAGCTCAATGAATGATGCTTCGGTGCCATTTTGTAACTGATGCTGTAGATGCAATGTCAGAGTTGATTCCTTTGCGTTGCTCTAGGAGAAAAGGCCAAAAACAAAATAAAAAGAGAGGGAGGGACAGAGACCTGAGAATGAGTGATAGGAAGAAGGAGGGGAAAATTGGGGGGGGGGGGGGGGGGGGGGGGGGGAATGGATAGCCCAGGGAATTACCACTGAAATTCGAATTATTTTAATCAATGTTTGGGTTTTGAATTTTTAAATTTACGGCAATTTAATGAGGTTAAACCTACTCTTCAGGTAACACGTAATAATAAGATTTTAGTTCTGACGCCGGTATAGGTGCGGTAGAGTCTCTTTTAAATAGCTCTGTAGTGTTAAAAATAATACTTCTTGACGGATATGTAGAGTGATCTATCTATATATTTATTTTTGTGCTAAAAAAACAGCCGGATGGATTAGATTCTCGTTACCATAGAGTTAGAGGAGAGTCAATTGAATGAATTTTACCACTGGATTTGGAGAGATTATTTTCAAAAACTTAAATAATTGGCACCCAATAACAACGAAACAAACATACCAATGTGATAAAATCCATACTCCAGAAAAAGGGCTGATCTCACCCCTGAAATTTTCAGTCCGTGGTTCGATAAAGCATCATGGTGAATTGGACTGTGCTAAAAAATTTAAAAATCCAATTATTTTTTGGGTTGGGTTGTGACTCAAAACGTCATATATGGGCTGGGCCGGCCCGGCCCAACCTTAGATAGTACCTAATTTCTGTGGACAAAGGGAATTGAAGACACAAGAGACGGGTCTAGTTGAATCTACCTGAGACGAAAGACCAAAAAACAGTGAAATAGAGCCTGCCAAGCAGTTTGAAGCAAAGCTAGAAAATGCAAAGAACATGAAGGAATCAGTGAAATTCTCGTGGGCCTTTCGGTAGGAATTGCAATAAATCCGCCACAAAATCAAAATGGAATTCGCAAGTGTAGGTAGTAAAAGTGTGTACTCATTAGACATGTCTAAATATATGAATCGATAAGAATTCACGTAACAGAGAACGAATCCGACACGAAACATACTTGGTGTGTACGATTATAAATTAATCAATATGAATTGAATAAATTTTGATATGACACTTTAGAATCTATCATCGGCCTTCTCCGTCAACGTGGCAATATATTTTCACTATTTTGCTCACGAAGGAAACTAGTACAATAAAACTAGAAATGTTGATGATTGAAAACCAGTACACTGCATTTCGTAATTTATAAGCATTTTCAAAAAAAATATATTCACCAAACAGTCAACATTTTCTTAAGAGCCCATTATAGAAAGTTCACTTTATATAATCCATCTTCTAATATGGACTTCTATTACGAGAAGTTACGTTAAAGGCAATAAGAGATGAAAATGGGAAAAAGAGTTTGAAAGAATAAACCGGAGTGAATCCCACTTCGAATCCTAGCGGCGACACAATATTTGAAAATTAGGCAGTCATTATCAATAAGATGGAGTGAAATCCGTCCAATACATTTTATCTTTAATTCTCTTTTTATGGATCATCTATCATGTATTCAAGTAAAATTCATAAAATACAAGTTCATCACTCATTAATGATAGATGATCTGTTAAAGAGAAAATCTATTGAAAGAATATTTCCAATAAAATGGGTCTTTTGTTAATCAGCTTTGGCCAAATTTGTTGGTCGAGGTAGCTTGTGCCATATTGGCTTGCCATTGTATAATATGGTAACCAAAATACCGCAACTTTGAACTTATTTTCTTATTCACCGTGATGTTCATAAAAATATGATAAGTTCGCATTTCCACATGGACCATGATAAATGGGAAAATAAGTTAAAGGCTGATAAATGAAGAATAAAGCTAAAAAATAACAGTAGTGTAGGTAGAAATTGATTCAATTTCAGTTTCTCACCTCAAGATTAAGGATCAAAAATTCGTTTTGATAAATTAAATTCGAATGGTTAGAAAACACATAAAAACATACAAAAAAACTATTTTCAAAACATTCTAAAATATCGAAACACACTGAAACATCTTGAAACACTTAAACCATTCCAAAATATCGGTCGGAACGCACCAAAACATTTTGAAATATCTAGAAACACAGTAAAAACATTAAAAAAAAAAATTATTTTGAAAACATTCTAAAACATCTAAACACATTGAAACTTCTTGAAATACCTAAAACATTCTGAAATATCGGTCGGAACACACCAAAAACATCTTGAATTATTTGAAAACACAGTAGAAACAAAAAATATATATATTTTTTGAAAACATTCTAAAACATTGAAATACACTTAAATATCTCAAAACACCTTAAACATTTTGAAATATCAATCAAAATGCACCAAAATATCTGAAACACAATAAAAAACATAAAAAAAATTTATTTTTTGAAAACATTCTAAAACATCGAAACACACTGAAATATCTTGAAACACCTAAAACATTTTGAAACATCGATTGAAACACATTGAAACATCTTGAAACATTTCAAATCACCGTAATTTTTAGATATTTAATCACTAACTAATTTTAATTTTCACGAAAATGAAAATAGTTCGGCCGTTTCAATAAAAAATAAATGGAATTTGCTCTAGAATTATGCTCCTTGTCCAGTGATTGTGTACGATGGCTTTGGCCAATTGAATTTGACTGGGTCTGATTGACAGAAATTAATATACGTCAAAGTTATTTTCTTGTTGGCCGATGGTGGGTCCACGAATGTATACCAACAGATGGATCATATCGAATAGAATTTCTATAAAAGACTAATTTCCAACACAAAAAAAAAAACTGCCTTTTTGTTGATACATATAATACATATATATAACGTTAAAATTAAATATATAAAATAACATAGGCATAGGAAAATCATCAATGCACCCTACTTATATTATTCTAAATTATTATGTTAGCCGGCACATTCATGCATTATTAAAAGGATGATTCCTTTGAAATCCTTATGTGGACCAAAGGAAAAGAATCTCATATCTGGCAAGAAATAAAATAAATTTGTTTTTTTTTTTTAAAATGGATTAAATTATTTTGAGCTTGAGCTTGAACTTAAGTTTTTGGTTCAGTTCTAATACTATCCGAGGATCAAAATTTCGTTTTAATGTATTATTTCAGTCACCTGAAAAATAGAAATTTTTTGACGTGTTTCAAAAATGTTTCGACCCATTTCGAAAAGAGAATGAAAAAAATTAAGAATTATTTTTCTAAAATATTTGTCGAATTATACCAAAGTATTCTGAAATAATTTTACAAATGTATTGAAACATTACAAAATACCTCAAAACATTATGAACCACCTCGAAGTATTAAATTTTCGATTTCATTACTGATTCGTTTTAGTCTTTTTAAAAACGAAAACATTTTTAATGTTTCAAAAACAAATTTTGATCCTTGATTTCTATCAGTGATATCAAAGCCCAACAACATCTAATGGTAGGGCTAACAATTGGTCGAGTCAGGGCGGGTCAAATTTTTTTTTGATCAAATACTTAACCCATTTATAATCGTGTATGGTCGTATTCATGTCATGTTGTGTTCGTGACTTGTGTAAATAGTATTTAGAAGGTTTTAAGTGACATGTTTAGCAAAGTTTGTGTCAACTCATCTATTTAACAAGTTTAACGAATTCACCTATTTACTACCAACTTAATTCGTATCAACTTTTCATCGTGCTCGTAGATAATGTCTAAAATTGTTGACTCTATTTGAAAGCTTATGTCAAATTGGGAAAAAACGAAAAAAAAAAAAAAAAAGGCAGCTAGCAAGCAAATACATTA